AAGAATATGTAAAACATGTTTAAGGTATAAATGAGAAAACCAAACATCTGTGATGTATCATCTCATAAAGTTATATAGTTTTAGCTATTAGAAGTAATTCTGGGGGAATTCCAAATGATTCCTCTTAGAGATTTCCTGACTAGCATTCATCAGTTGAAAGAAGAGGAAGGGTAATGACTGTATTAAGAGTGGCAATAATCAAACACCTAATGACCCAGAAAATGAAGAGAATTATGCCTGATGTAAAAACAAAGAATGCTTTATGTAATGAGCTATGTAGATATATAATATTAGTGCTTTTTTGTTATTAGAGCTTCACATTATAAATTAGTTCCTATTATAATCAGATCAGAAAAAAGGGTGGAAAGGAAGAAAAGTGAGAGGCTAGTAGAAAGAGTCAGTCTCTAAAAAGAAGTACTATAACCTTTTGTGGAAGGTTGGTGGAAGGAAGGAAGGAAGCTTAGTGGGTTAAATGCACTTGCTCCTTGAGCTTTCCTTCTCTTATTATCACATGCCTTTGAAAGCACATACAATTGCAGGTTATTTACAGCATTCTTGCACTCAAATCCCTGACAGTGATTTTGGGGAAATGTGCTTTAGTGATCTAGTATTTGAATTTCCCTGTATGAGATTTTTTTTTTTTTTGCCATTTCTCTGATTTTAGAAAAATTACAATTTAAAACTGTCTTAAAAAAATGTATAAAGTGTATACCTTAAAAATGATCTGTTTAGCCCTGAACGGTTTGGCTCAGCGGTTAGAGCGTCAGCCTGCGGTCCTGAGAGACCCGGGTTCGGTTCCCGCTAAGGGCGCGTACCTCGGTTGCAGTTTGTCCCCGGCCCTGGTCGGTTGTGCGGGTGGCAGCCACTCGATGTGTCCCTTTCACGTCGATGTTTCTCTCTCTCTCTGTTCCTCTCTCTCCCTCCCACTCTACCTGAACAAAAAATGGAAAAATGTCCTCCGGTGAGGATTAAAAAAAAAAAAAAATGATCTGTTTAGATTTGGGTGACTTGAGGTAGCTTTAGTGATTGATAGTGTTTTGTTTTTCAGTGGTTTTGTAGTACAACTTAGTATTGAACTCTTCTTTGTGTAGTATGTGGGATCTGTCTACATTTGTGAATGTTTATCTAATGTAATTTTAATTTTGAAAATTATTATTATTATTGTAAAAGAGAACATTAGTTAAATCCAATCTCTTATGATTTTAATATTTTTAGGGATTCTTAAAAGTCAAAATGCTGTTCAATAAAATAGGACTTTTCTAGCCTTTTAAAAATTGGCATATAATTGACATACAATATCATATTAGTTTCAGGTATATGTTATAGTGATATGACATACACACACACACACACACACACACACACACACACTAGAAATGATCCCCACGGTAAGTCCACATACCATCTATCATTATATAAAGTTATGACTATTATTGATTCTATTCCCTATGCTATACATTAAGTTCTCATGACTTATTTATTTTATGACCTTGTAATCCCCTCTACCAGTTTTATCTGCCCCCCCCAAACCTTCCCTGCTGGTAACCAACAGTTTGTTTCCTGTACCTATAAATCTGTTTCTGTTTTGTTTGTTTGTTTTGTTTTTTAGATTCCACATATAATTGAAATCATACAGTGTTTATCTGACACATTTTACTTAGCATAATACTGTCTAAATCTATCCATGTTCTTACCAATGGCAGGATTTCATTTTTTATGGCTGAATAGTATTCCATTGTATGAATACATCACATAGTATTTGTTCATTCATCTATCAGTGGACATTTAGGTTGCTTCCATATCTTGGCTATTGTAAATAATGTGACAGCGAACACAGGGGTGCATATATCTCTTTCAATTTGTGCTGTTTTTTCTTTTTGGATGCACCCCTATGTTCATTGTAGCATTATTTACATTAGCCTTTTTGCATTAAATTTAAAAATCTTTTAAACCTCAACATGATTCTCATTCTAAGATTGTTATTCTAACTTGTTTTATAAATTTTTCTGGTAATGAGAAATGTGCTTCCATTCTCTTTACTTAAACCCCTGAAGATTTTAGCAGTAATATGGTCTTCCTGAAAGGCAGTTCAACATAAAGGAAAGACTAGGGCCTTCTGTTCCTTAAAAATTGTTATATGAAATCTAAAAGAATTTTTCTTAGACATTTCCTGACTGGCAGCCATCAGTGGAAAGGAGAGGGGAAAAGGATGGGGTTCATCAGTACAGTGTTAATAATGACAATTCTGGCCTGTTTCAATCCTAGATTCATGACTCTGTAATAGTAGGCAAGTTATTCTTACCTTCTCTAGTGCCCACTTTCTTCCCTTGAAAAATGATAATGATGGTTCCTACTTCATAGAAGTTAGGGTTTTATAGAGAAAAATATATAAGCGCATAGCATAATGGTTGGCGTATAGAATGTGCTCAACAAATGTTAATTATTTTCCATTTTATCTTAATTTTCCTAATTTAATTCTGAAATAATTAGTAAATTAGTTCTAAGTCACTTTTAAGAAAAGTGCTGACCTCATAGAATTATGCTTAAAATAGTGAATGTTTGTGGATAGTAGGTCAAATTAAATGTAAATGTTTTTAACCTCCATCAAATAAATGAGCTTAATTTACTTTTTTGAACTTTGATATGAATAGCTCAGTTACAGTATGACAAAGTTCTTTGACTTTTTGAATCTTTTTTCATGTTAGGATTAAAAAGTGGACTAAACAAGCATTCTGCTTATTTTTAATGCCTGCTGTTCTGAGGTCATACTTGACCTTAGGTATTTTCCCAAATAGATGTCAGTATACAGGTGTTAGTTCCAGTGCTTTGCACAGTTCACTACATCAGATTCAGCAATTTAGTATGAGTGTGGCAGAGACTGGAGAGATTAAGTGATTTTTAACTTCTGTTAATCAAAATATAACTATATTTTAGTGAATAAAAATAGTAGCTATATCACTTGAGTTCATGAAGACTTAGCTGATTTTTAATAATTAATAAGTTTTTTCTGCCAATGAGCATTAGATTACTGCTGACTTTTTAGTGTCATAGTACCTTGTGGTAGTTTCTCTGCAGGGTTTAAAGGTGTATCCAGTTGTTGTTTTTTCCTGTCCTGTCCATAGGAAATAATCTTTACAAATGCTGTAGGGAGAATATCTCTAAAAGTCCATACATGCCATTAATATGTTATAAGGATCGGTCAGTCCCATTGTCTTCTTTTGTCAATCTTGATCGGAGCTTGCCGAGTAAGTCTATAAGCCTGCATGTGCCTGGCAACTGTTACCTAGTGACAGTTTCAGCTGCAGTAGCCATTGGCTGTGCTGTTGATTGGGGCAGGAGGACCGAGTCACCTTTCTGATGGTGAGTTCTGCATCAGCTCAGGATGAGGAGGAGCTGGGCTCCAGCTCAGGTGGAAGCAGTGATGCCGAGTAATTGTGAAGAATATCCCGACAGCATCCAGGGAGCTGCATCACAGTGAGGCGGACTTCTGAATCAAGCAGCCCAGCCGAGCAGCTGATAAGAGTGAATGTAGGTGAGAAGCATTGCCTTATTTCCCTAACAAGAGAACTGTTTTGTGACAAGTGAAGCTGGGAATGTGCAAGGAGGAATATTCTGTGGCTGTTTTAAAAGCAGAAAGACTTCCCTGCATGACTTGGTGATGCACGAGAAAATAACTTTGAGAAGAGTGCTGCTGCATTGATCCCGAGGAAATGTCTGTATTTTTAATGCATGGTGTTTCTTCAAAAGGTGTGACAACAAAGGCTGACAAGCGACTCTCTGAAATGCCTGTACTTTAAAAAAGACTTTGGACAATGTTAACCTCATACCAGAACGACCTTGGAAGCCTTTTGGGTGGATTCTATTCTGCCAGCCTTTCAGTATTTCAGTCTCTAGGATTTGAACTCATCTTCATATGTTAGAGGTATTTTAAAACAAGACCATCTTACAGCCTACTTAATGGCCCCTGTGTTAATTGAACACTTGCTCGAAATAGAACGCAGAAATAGAAGAGACATTTTAAAAAACATATGGCTGCTACATAACTGCAAATATAATAAACAAGGTAATTTTCTACTTTCAAAGATTTAGTTGAAGTAATGATTTAATGTGTTAACCATCTAATGAAAGAAAAGGTAGAGAAGCATAGATTATGATGCCTGCTAGAAATACCTAAGTAATAAAGAATGGCAGCATTTCTAGTCAAATAAGCTCAGAGTAGATATGAAAGTTTCTATTGTCTAAATTTCATATAAATTCACATATATGTGAGGTATAGGTGTGGTTGCAAGGTGAGCAGTAACTTTGAGCTATATAGTTTATGATCATGCTTCATTGTAAGGAAGGTGGCATATCAGATAATGAAAGTTAATGGTGCTGAAATGAATAGCAAAATGATTTATTTTTCTTTTGAAAAGGAAGAAGTACAAATTACATTGTTGATGGTAGCACCAGTAACTGTAATAGGCTAAAACTGTTTTCTTCTGAATGCTTAAAAACTGCATGCAGAATGAAAGTTTACCATATTTTGTCAGGTGTTGACCCATTGCTTATTATCTTCCCTACTGGAAGTATGTTCTGTTCTCTTGTGAAAGCTATATGGAAATCTGGAGTCTGTTACCTTTGTTCTGGTCTTTTGTGCCCAAATACAGATGAGTCTTTTAGAATTAACCTTTTCAAGAAAGGTGGTGGTGACGGTTTTTATCTTTCTAAAGAAATGAGAGAGAAATGGATCATAAAGTTGACCCACCAGCATCAAAACCTCAACTGAGCCTAGAGACACTGTTTGTCACAATGAACTTTTTCTTAGCTTTCCAACAAAAGCTGAGATCTTAATTATTTAAGTTCTAAAATATGAATCAACTTCTTATGGTAGATGAAACAGGAAGCCTGAGACAATTTCAGACTTTTTCTTTTCTCATTCTTTCTAGTTGATCCTTAAGAAACAGCCTTTCTGAGGAGGACAAACATCCCACAGAAGCTTTTTTTCCCTTGGCAATTGATTTCTTTCTGCAGAGTTAATTTTTTATAGTGCAAGGTAATAAATCCATTTTTTCTAGAAGTGCCTTGTGTCTGCAAAAAGTTGTTTGAGAACACCAGAGGAAGCTAATGGGTGACCTTTTTTCACCTTTGTAGCTTATTCCCCTCCCTTTCCTCCCAAAGCTGAGGGGTGTCATTGCTGCACTGAGGCTGATGAAGAGACTTGAGTCCTGTCTGGGATGCTCAGCTGTGACAGACACACCGCCATCATCTCCTGAAGCTGATCCCGAGACCCTCAGATGCAGAGTTTAACAGATGCTGGCAGGGCACCGGCTTGCTGTAGCCAAGGCTGCAGGTTCCCTTAATTTCAAGCCATGAATGAATCCAGGTGGATTGAACGGAGGATCCTGAACCTGAGCAGTGGCCTTGTGAATGTGTCTGAGCGGCACTCCTGCCCACTTGGATTTGGCCACTACGGTGCGGTGGATGTCTGCATCTTTGAGACCGTTGTTATTGTCTTGCTGACATTTCTGATCATTGCTGGGAATTTAACAGTCATCTTTGTCTTTCACTGTGCCCCACTCTTACACCATTATACCACCAGCTACTTTATCCAGACGATGGCATATGCTGATCTTTTTGTTGGAGTTAGCTGCTTGGTTCCTACTCTCTCACTTCTCCACTACTCCACAGGTATCCACGAGTCACTGACTTGCCAGGTTTTTGGATATATCATCTCGGTTCTGAAAAGTGTTTCTATGGCATGTCTTGCTTGCATAAGTGTGGATCGCTATCTTGCAATCACCAAGCCTCTTTCCTACAATCAACTGGTCACCCCTTGTCGACTGAGGATTTGCATTATTTTAATCTGGATCTACTCCTGCCTAATTTTCTTGCCTTCTTTTTTTGGCTGGGGGAAACCTGGTTACCACGGTGACATTTTTGAATGGTGTGCCACCTCTTGGCTCACCAGTGCCTATTTTACTGGCTTTATTGTTTGTTTACTTTATGCTCCTGCCGCCTTTGTTGTCTGCTTCACTTACTTCCACATTTTCAAAATTTGCCGGCAGCACACCAAAGAGATACATGACCGGAGAGCCCGGTTCCCCAGCCACGAGGTGGATGCCTCTGGAGAGACTGGACACAGCCCCGACCGCCGCTACGCCATGGTCCTGTTTCGGATAACCAGTGTATTTTACATGCTGTGGCTCCCCTATATTATTTACTTTCTTCTGGAAAGCTCCCGGGTCTTAGACAATCCAACACTGTCCTTCCTAACAACCTGGCTTGCTATAAGTAATAGCTTTTGTAACTGTGTTATATACAGCCTCTCCAACAGTGTTTTCCGGCTAGGCCTCCGAAGGCTGTCCCAGACGATGTGCACGTCTTGTATGTGTCTGAAGGAGCAGGACACACGAGACCCCAAGCCCAGGAAACGGGCTAATTCCTGCTCCATCTGAAGAGAACCGCTCAGTAAATCAAGTGTAATCCGACAGTGGTTTTGGATCGTGGTCTTGATTCCTCTGGAAATTTGCCACTAGAGAAATATTTACTTGAATATTTTTGGCTATGAGATGAAGGGACTAAAGGTTTCATTTGTTCACCCCTTTTTTTATGGAGGAAAAAGATGAAAGAAAAGGATGTATAGACAGTAATCTCATGAGATAATTATAGCATGTGGGTATAAACGTTCAGCAATAGGGAAAATTAAGCACTGAGGATGACAAAAATATCTCAGATCTTCCACAGGATGTGAGCAAAACTCCTTAGTGTCTCTTTCTCTCTCTCTGATTGACCTCTCTCTCTCTGTCTGTCTCTCGTTCTGTCTGTCTCACTCTTGTATGTTTGTGGGAATTGCTTACATCACTTGCCCTCTATAGACAAATGCTACATATTATATATGTGGCAATGTATAATCTTTGGCATCAAAGTGTACTTTTAAACACACTGATCTGAAATCCATAAGTGGTCTCTCATGGGTGCAGAGTAAGTGTGATATGTTAGTACCTGCCACACAACCATTTTGCTTGTGTGTTTATAATCTCCGCAGCACAAATTTTCTGCCTTGAGCAAAAAGAGACAGTATTTTGATTTCACCAGGGTAAAATATGCTCCCCACCCCTCCTTCCTGACAACCTGCTGTATTTTTCTTCATCTACATCCTTTGGTACCTTAATCCAGAAGTGTCTTAGCTAATGAAAGAATCTACTATATAAAGCAATCATAATGTTAAATAATTTATTCCTTCCAACAAAGCAATGGATAGCCTATTTGAGATATTGTGTTAAATATTTTCAGTGGCTTTTGGAGACATTTTTTTCTGGTTCCTTTTAAATTATTTTACGTTCCCAAAGTGGTGTCTTTTTTACTCTAGTAAGGCTTTGTTTTCCTTTAAGGCAATCCACAAATAATTCAGTGCAAATGCAGAGTGCTCACCCAAGAGTAAACATCACTTTGAAAGCTACTTGGTGTGTCTTTTTCTTTTTTTAAGAGTAAAATATTGACCTTTTTGTGTTAGGTCTACAAACTTACTGTTCTGTCCACTAATCATTTGTGTGATATGTGTTTGCACATACTATTTTTTTTTTTTACAACACAGAAAATGTAAATTATACTATGTGATCTGTGCCTCATGTTTTCTTAGCACAATATATAGATCAATGTTGCTTTAGTCACCAACATTGGGAAAAATATACACAAACTTCTTTTAAGAGAAAAATACTTTTTGTGTAGCTGTTATTTAGATATTTATACTAGCCTAAGCTGCATTCCTAGTGCTACTGAGGATATAATATACTTAATTATGAAATACAGGTAACAGCTTTCAGTATTTTCTTTTGTAATGATCTGTTTTCATATTCAGAGGTTAAACTAGCTTATTTTTTAGTGTGCTACATGGAATTGTGTAATAAATGGTCAGGGGTTTAGATGTAGCAAAATGGCATTTGGGAATTAGTAGTGAAGCAGGTGAGTGGTGATACATCGAAATCTTACTTTATTTTTATCATAATTTTTCTGCCTGACAGATATTTTAAAATTTATATCAACCTACTGAGTATTTTTCTTCTCAGCATTTTTGATTTGCTTGTTTTATGAAACGCATCAATGAAATGTGCCTGTGGAAGCCAACCATGCTGCACACTGGTGGTTTGATTTCAGAGGCCCTTTAGCAGAAATGCATCATTTTACTGAGGTTGTTCTGAACCCCTGTGTATTTTTAAACATGTAAGAAAGGTTTAAAATAAATAATAAAATAGTATTCTATATATCAAAATCAGACTTTGCTTCGGTTTAATAAAATACTTAACTTGGGACAAGAGTTTACTTGTTTGGGATCAAAATTTAACTATTTTACATTTCTCTGGTTTGAGTTGTTTATGTTAATTCTTGTCCCCTGTTTGCCAGTGGCATCTTGGAAAAGTTGAAATGTGCCTTTTAAGTTTAGACTGGTTTAATGAAACATAATACTGTAACTTAAAAAAAAAAAAAAAAAAGAATAGCTTATTGATATTTAGAGAGAGAGGAAGGGGAAGAGAGAGAAACATTGATGTAAGAGCTTAACATCAATCTGCTGCCTTGAAACTGCAACCCAGGAATATGCCCTGACCGGGAATCAAACCAGCAACCTTTGGTGTACGGGACAATGCCCAACCGAGCCACGCCGGCCTGGCAATACTATAACTTTTCAGTCGTCATAAATAGGATCTTCAACATGTATTATTTGAGAATCACATTTTGATTCCTTTAGTTTGGAGTGTACATTTAGTTAGAAAAGACTCAGTAGATGCTCTGTATAGAAAACTTGAGGCCGTGTTTATTGCATTTTTCTCTCTGGCTTTTCCTGGTAATAATTTGTAACAACAGTTATATGCCAGACACGGTGGCATATAACATTTAATCCACACTATGACCCTTTGAGATGGCTATTGTTATTCTCATTAAAAAAATGAGGAAACTTAGCCTTGGCTGGTTTGGCTAAGCGGTTAGAGCATCGGTCCACGGACAAGAGATTCATGGGTTCGGTTCCGCTAAGGGCATGTACCTCGGTTGCAGTTAATCCCTGGCCCCTGCTGGGGTCGTGAGGGGGCATCCAGTCGATGTCTCTCTCTCACATTGATGTTTCTTTCTCTCTTCCTTCCTCTCTCCCTTCTGCTCTATCTGAAGATAAATGCAAAAATGTCCTCGGGTGAGGATAAAAAAAAAATGAGGAAACTAAAGAAAAAGGACCTATCCAAAGTCACTCATTAAGGTCAGTGGCAGAGGTTCAGTCACACTCAGTTGGCCTGGAACCAAAGCCTGTACACTTAACCACTATGCTATATTGCCTTCCCCCAAAACCCTCAGACCTTTGTACCTCTGTCACTACCTTTTCCCTAAAATTTCTCTTTTTTTCTCACCTAAATCTTTTGCTTCACTTCTTTTTCTTTCTTAGGATATCTTTTTCCTTGATCTTACAAATCTCAATGAAAACAGCAATCTTAATAAGCCCAACTTTGCCAGGCTAGTCTACAATCAAACTGAAACCCTGGGGCATGGATTTCCTTGACATTACTTTTGTTCATTTTTGTTAAAGTTTTCCTTGAATAACTTTTTCAAATCTCTACAAATTTCCTATTGCAAGACATTTCTTTGAAGAAGAGTGGAAGGAGGGCTTCATCGTAGCCTGAATGGGGAGCCTCTGTGAGGCGAGTGCTGGGTTGAGATTCTCTGTTGCAACTTTCCTGTGCCGCTCTGGGGTAAGCCAGTTAGCTTCCCTTTGACACGCTGGGATGTGTGTTTACATAATAAGATAACACTTATTTTGAAACTACTCTGTCTTTTTCAGAGTAACTATTTTAAGAACAGGACGCATAGCCATTATTCTCATCACTATATTGTGTTTTCTGTGGTAATTATGTAGTTTGGTTATAAATGACAACCAAACAGTAATGTTGTCCTCTGTTACTAAGGTCTCCCTTATCTGTAGAATTGTTTCTAAAGTTACATAATGTTGGAAGGCTTTATAACCTACAAGTGTATGAAACCTGGATTGAAATCCTGGCCCTAATTTGAGATTAAAGATTTCTAGCAAGCCCGTATTGGGATGAAACGGGTGATTCTGAGATTCACCTACTCTTTACTTTTTTTTTTTTTGTATTAAATGTGCTTAAACATCTGTCTTTCATCAGGCTTGTGATAGTAGGAAAGGATTGTTTAGGAATGTGTTGCCATTTGTCTTTGCATTTTAGTTTTCCTCATCTACTAAATTAGAATTGAAGGTATTTTGTCAATACAAGTTACCTGGAAGACATAAAGATGAATAAGCAGACTGGTTATACATATATCATTTATTATGTGAGTGTGGAAATAAATGAAGTTGTTGCCTTAAAGGACTTTCCTCTGTCCCTCCCCACACTCAAAGCTAATCATTAGATGTGAAAAAGATGCAAGTATGTGAGAAACAGATAAAGAAGAGTAAGATGTGGAGAAGTTGCTAGTATAACAAGCTGAGCATAGCATCACTTGTGTTCAGGTAGGAGCTTGGCAGTGCCCGGGAGCTTGCATTACTGTGGGCACTCTATTTTTTCTTTCTTTTATTATTATTATTTTTTAATCCTCACCCAAGGACATTTTTGCATTTGTCTTCAGATAGAGCAGGAGGGAGAGAGGGAGGAAGAGAAAGAGAGAAACATTGATGCAAGAGAGACACATTGACTGGCTGCCACCCACACGACCCCAACCGGAGCCGGGGACACACTGTAACCGAGGTACATGCCCTTAGTGGGGACCGAACCTGGGCCTCTGTGGTCCACGGGCCGATGCTCTAACTGCTGAGCCAAACCTGCCAGGGCTGGGCACTCTATTTGGATGTGTAGGTTGCAAAAGTTGCCCTTTTGCCTGAGCAAAACTATTTTAGGATTAAGAAGGTTATGTAGAAAATGGCATACTCTACAACCAAGTGTGTAGATGATCAGGAAAACAAAATGACCAGTGTTTCTTGGAAATGAAAGATTTATCCAGTGCTAGTTTCGCTCTGTAATTTAAAACATTGAGCCCTGGCCAGTTTGGCATAGTGATTAGAGCGTCGGCCCGGGGACCAATGAGTCGTGGGTTCGATTCCAGCCAAGGATGTGTACCTCGGTTGCGTTTCTTCCCTGGCCCTGGTTGGGTCATGTGGGAGGCAATCAGTTGATGTGTCTCCCTCACATCAATATTTCGCTGTCTCTCTCTCCCTCCCTCCTACTCTATCTGATGATAAACAGAAAAATATTCTTGGGTGAAGATTTAAAAAAAAGCATAACTTTTTTAGACAGTAAAAGTGAGTGTCTTTTAAAATATTAAAAGTGATGTGAGTAGATATTTATTACTATTCTATTTTAAAATTTATTTTTATAGTTGGGAAGAGAAAATTGTTAAAAAGAATGCTGTCTATTTAAAAAATACTTTGACATTTCACAAAACAGTTTTCGTTGATTCTATAAGTGATATCCAATTTTGTCTTAATACTATTTTGCTTTGAAGATTGTTTACATAATTTTCTGACTTTTATAATATTTGTTACTTTAGGTATATTTTCAGAGAAATTTGATGACCTTCTACTTACGATATTAGATGTTCTTGACTTATTTTTGCTTCAACAAGTTGGTTTGAAGTGTTATTTGCTGAATCTGGAATGGATCTTCATCACTTTAGGGTTTTTTAATGAACCACTGATGGCACCTTCTAGTTTTTTTTTTTCCCCTATATCTTTAACAAAACGATGACCCTATATTAGAGAAATGGGGTCTGGCTGGTGTGATAACTGCATTGCACAGATTAGCAGGATTCTGTTTTCAGTCTCCCATCTCAAAAGATCTTATCTACAACTTTTTAATGGTAATTTATTCTATTCTTATATAGGATTCC